CACATTTTACACTGTAACCCAGGACAATACTTCATGTAAAAAACCCAAAACCAACAAAAAAACCCACAAAACAAACAAACAAAAAAATCTTATGGCTTTTGAAATACAACTTCTGCATTAGTGTGCTTGTGCTGGTGAAATGTTTTACCCTGACATAGTATAGGCGAAGAGTAAGGGCATGATAGACTGCGTGACAAATGGAACAAAACCATTCTGAAGACCCTGTGGCAGTGAAGTTGCTGAAGACAGTGGTTCATAGAAGTGTTCCCTCTCATCCTTCCCCAGTCAATTTCTTCCTATTTCTATGCATTACTGCCTTATATAGTAATTTATACTGTCCTGAAATTGTGCAGTCAAAACAATTACTGATCTCTGCATTTGTGCATCATCCTCAAATCATCCTTCCTTCTATTCCCACTTGTTTTGGTTGTTTTAAACCTTTATTAAACTTTGAGACTCAATATGATTTGTATTGCTTGTTATGTTTGTTAGTCTGTCTATATAAACAAACCATTATCGTACATATTTATCTTTACATGCACAAACCCACTTTTTTTTTCCCCTCTTCATTAAGAGCACGCCTAAAGAAGAAGCTGAGCTAAGGTTCTGCCAGCTAACAAGAGAGTATCAAGCTTTGCAAAGGGCGTATGCATTGCTTCAAGAACAAGTTGGTGGAACCCTGGATGCAGAGAGAGAAGCAAGGGTAATTTTTTAATCGATTTTTTTTTTTTTTTTTAAACTCTGAAGTCATTGAAAAGGCTGAAAAAACTTGGAATAGCAGGAGATATCTTTGCAGGTCAATGAAAGCCAAAGCACAATGTTTTTGAGGATCAGAGGATATTATCAGTAAGGTGACAATTTAGATTCATCTGGTGCAGTCAGAACAAAGATATCATTATACTTTATGCTTGAATGCATAATATGTAAAATAGTTCAGTAGTAAGATAGTGTTATTGAGAATGATATCCCAATTAAACCTGCAATTTGAATAGTGACATTCTGGATTTAAAATGAGTCGACGAATAGGTTGTTATAAGTACTTAGGTGCTTTTATCATATGAGTATATTAAAAATCTGACCCAAATCTGGCAAATTTTTTCTTCAAGTGTTTTGTTGAATATCTGAAATCATAAGTTGTTTTAAATGTCATTTTGAAATTATTCTTCCACTAAGAAGCACGTAGCTAACTATTGTTCCTATGAAGTCAGCATGTGTGATGGTGTACTCTTGTGATGGTGTAAATGGGGTTTTGCCCTTACAGCAGTCTCTGTACTATAGGTATTTGAAGTGTGAGAGATTATGTATTCAATTTTTATTTACCCTTCTTTCACCACTGTGTTTAACCATTTAGAGAGATGAAGTCAGCGAAAGTCATGCTAACATTTCCATTCTGTTTTTCCCAAACTGGGGAGGAGAAAAATCACTTCATAATGATTTGATGAGCTCTGACTCAGTCCCCAGATCCATTCACTGAACAACAATGGCATCAAAAAACAGCTGAGTTAACTAGAGGCAAAATTTCTTCTACTTTATACCAACTCCCTGCAGATTGGGGCATGTCTAGAAATGTAGCATATTTACAAGACAGCCTCTACTTGAATGACTGTTGTCATCAATGACCAAATGTAACATCCAAATGGTCAAGCAATAGCCATAGGGCAGGAAACTTCGTCATCTTCACCTCATGTTCTTTGTTCTGCATCAAGTACAGCTTGAATCTGTAGATAACTGACTACTGAGAGAGCTGACTGATATTGTGTGGCTACTCTCTGACTTTGAAGGGTCATGGCAATTGCAGGAGGTTCCTGAGGACTGTAAGAAAGCAAATGTCATTCTTGTCTACAAGAAAGGCAAGAAGGAGGATCTGGGGAACTGAAGGCCGGTTGTTCTCACCTCAGTCTCTAGGAAAGGGATGGAGGAAAGAATCATGGAAACTGTTTTCAAATGTCTGAAAGACAAGAAGGTGACTGGGAGTGATCAGCATGATAACCAGCTTGAGAGCCTTCTATTATGAGATGACTAGCTTGACAGATGAGCTGAGAGCAGTTGATGTTGTTATATCTTGACTTTAGTAATTATTTTGACACTCTCCATGAGATTCTCATAGTCAAACTGATAAAGTACAGACTAGACAAGTGGACAGTGATGTGGACTGAAAATTGGCTGAAATAGCTTAAAGGGTGATCAGTGGCAGGAAGTTCAGCTGGAGGTATGCCACCAGTGATGTACAGCAGGGGTTGATACTGGGTCCAGTACTATTTAACCTCTTCCTTAATGACCTGGGTGATCAAACAGAGTGCAGCTGCAGCAAGTTTGCAGATGAGACGAAACTAAGAGCGAGTGATTGATACATGAGGTGGTTGTGCTGCCATTCAGAAGGACCATTTGACTGCCTGAAGAAATGCTTTAGAGGAATCTCATTAAATTCAACAAAGGGAAAGAAAAGTCCTGTATATGGGGAAGAATAACTTCATACACCAGTACAGACTTGGGGCTGTCTTGCTGGCAAGCAGTTTTGCACAAAAGGACGTGGGGGTTCCTGGTGGACACCACGTTGAACATGAGTCAGCACTGTGCCTTTGCAGCAAAGGCGGCCGACAGCCTCCTGGGCTGTATTAGGAAAAAAGTCCCCAGCATACCAATGGAGGTGATCTTTCCTCTCTACTCAGCATTGATGAGGCCACATCTGGTGTGTTGGGTCCATCTCTGGGCTCCCCCAGTACAAGAAAAACATAGACATATTGGACAGAGTCCAGAGAAGGGCCATGAAGATGATTAAAGGCTTGGACAACCTGATACACAAGGAGAGACTGGGAGAGCTGGGGCCGTTCAACCTGGATAAGAGAAGGCTCAGAGGTATCATCAATTTGTGTAAATACCTGATGGAGGGAATAACGAAGATGGAACCAGACTCTTCTCAGCAGACCCAGTGAAAGGACAAGATGCCACAGGCACAAACTCAAATACAAGAAACCATTTAAACTCGTTTCTTCCTCTGAGGGTAGTCAAACACTGAAACAGGTTTCCCAGAGAATCTGTGGAGTCTTCATCCCTGGAGATATTCAGAACACCACTGGACAAGGTCTTGAACAACCTGCTCTAGGTGTCCATGTGCTTTGAGCACAGGAGTTGGACAGGTGATCGCTTCCGACCTCAATGAAATTGTGATGCTAAAAAGTGTTTAAGCATTAAAATAATCCTAATCTATTCCTGTCCTGTTCTACATCACCTACCCCGCCCCCCCAAAAAAAAAAAGGCGCCAAACACCCAACCCTGGACTCCAAAAATGGACAAACATGTTAAACATTGTGAATTATTACTGCCTTGCTACATGTAGCCTTGATTGTATTGTGCAACTGCAACATGTTGCTAATAATGCAGAAAGACAAAGATTTTAATGTGATTTAAAAATTAGTGGTGGGAACGAACTCAATTATATCCCAAAATGTATGAGCTATCACTAGCTTAATGATTCCACTGCTTAGAACAATTAATAAAATTTTCACAAAATTCTATATTGCTAGATTGCTGATGGTTGTTAGGCGTACATGTGCACTATTTCATCTACATCATTTTCTCTGTCAAGCATTTTAAAATTCACTTACTGAATATTCTCAGGTATAAAAACAGTATGCTTGTGGGAATAGAATTTCTGTGTGTTTCAGACATTTGTGAAAAGCAAAGCTTTTCAGATAAAAGTTACAGAAGAATGTAGACTGCTTGATATTATCTGGAGTTATTTACAGCTAAAAATATTAGTCTGTTATCCCCAGAGCCAGTATTTAGAAGATTCAGGATTTACTTTAAAATATGTTTCATTTGGGTTTTTTTTCAAAGTTTCTTTGAAGTGGCTCTTAACCAGCCTTAACTTTTCTTTTTTTTTTTTTCCTGCGAAACACAGTTCTTACAATAGTAGAATTATTGCTTTATGGCTTTATTTGTTGAAGTTCTCAGCATCTTACAAAAGCCTAATCACATTTGACAGTCTCTTTTTAACTAGAGCACTTAGCCAAGGAAAGCAATAAGGACTTTGGAGATCACTTCTCAAGCTAGAATTGGGGTGGGGGACATAATTACATCTACTGTTAAAGTAAGATTTCAGAGGCACTTATGTATTTGACAGTTATGAGAAACGATTATATATTTCCTTTGCCTTCATGGGAAGGGAGACCCTGGTATGAATGTTTTTGTAATAGCTTTAAAATATTTTATTTTGCAGGCATTGACAATCTGTCCCTTTAGTATGCTTTGGAAATGTTGCTTGTTCTTTTTGATGGTACTTCGGTCCCTTTTGTGACATCCATGCAAATCCATCTTTTGAGAGAGTCAGAAGGTAGCTTTTTGCATCGTTAGTTTTGTAGGGCCCAATGTTCTGGTGGGATGAACATTTCCTATTACTTTTAGATGAGGCTTAAGGTAAATAACAAGGACCCAAAGATGCAGAAGGAAATCGCTATGGGAATTTTAGAACTGTTTGGGTGAAAGAGTACCTGAAGTAACGTGGGAAAAGTACTTGCAGTAGCTCAAGGAGCCTCAGTGACTGGAGGTCTCTGGAGATATCCTTTGGTTTACATCCTTTTTATTTAGTAGCTTCTATGATCCAGTCCCTACTAGGGCATCACTGGACTCAAGGGGTAATACCTACTATAATGTAATAGTGTAATAATCATGTAGAATGAGGAAAATTGACTGGCGTATGCTGTTCATGGGATAAATAAATTATTTTGGGTCAATTTATTTTCTTTACCTATAGGCCTTTTTAAGTCCTTATTGAAATTCTTTCACTCTTGCTCTGTTTTCCCCAATTGCCTTGAATTACTAAAGCTTATGAATAGCTTCTTAGAGCTCTTTTAGTTCCTTTTTTTCTTTCCTCTGGGAAGAGCATTGCCACTGCATATGTGGTGATAACATCTTTTTAGGCTGGGAAGGAAAAATGCTGATAAACTGATGGCTTTAAATATTTTGTAACATAAATACAAAAGCAGTTATTTTAATGAAAAAGATTAAAAGCTGACTGGACAGCCCACTAAGTGGGTAGAAAGTATCTTTACTTTGATTCTGTGTGTAATTAAATCTATGTGTCCACCTGGATGTGCAAGCATATACAAAAATTTTTTAATACTTTTTTTTTTCCCCAGACTCGGGAACAACTGCAAGCTGATCTTCTCAGGTGTCAGGCAAAAATTGAGGATCTGGAGAAAGCTCTAATCGAGAAGGGACAGGTAAAAGGCTCTCTTAATGTCCTCTACCACATCATTTTCTCGCTTGCATGCAGTGGTGCCCTTGCCATCTTCATTGCTTGCTGGTGTGTTAGTGTGACTGATGCAGCTTAACTGCTACTCCACCCGTAGATTACTTAAAGGAAAGTATTATATAGGCTAAGAAAATGCCGTTAAAGATTAATTTTCTACCACATAACACACTAAAGCATAATATTGAAATAATCGTGTGTATATGCTTTGTAAATTCTGGTCCCATTGTCATTTGGTGAAGGCTTTTGTCCTTTTTTCCATTTTGTTTATATTTGCTATAAATTCCAATAAAATAAATATTCTGTATTTGTACTGGAGAATATTTTTGGTGTGTAGCATAGAAAAATTCAAATACCAAATCACTTCCATGCATGCTTCAGCTAGAGAAATGAACCGCTTGGTGTGTCTGGTTACTGGAAGGCGCTTACAGTGTTACTTTTCTGGGCTTAAATTCTTGGAGGACCCGACTGGTTTCAAATTCCCATACCATCACACAGAGTAAAATTAGGCCTTATGCTTCAGTTTACCTTGTAAATACTTGAAGAAGTGGCTCCTGATGCATATTCAATAATATCGAAGATCTTCAGGAAGGCTAATTAGAGTTATGAGGGTGCATTTAAAAGATGTGCAGTTGCATAACTTCTAGAATGCACTGAGAAAATTGGGGAGATGTTATTTTACACTTTAGTGTTTGAAATAACAATTTTAAGATTGCAGGTAGCACATGGTAATAAGATATAGCTATCCATATGCATTTCAAAGACTAATGATCCTGTAGCATTGAATAAAAACAACCTATGAATAATACCAACTTAATGATATTACTTTTATGGTTTATTCTTTGTAAGAAAAAATTTCTTTAAGGTTATGTATAAATACAAAGTTTTTGGGACCATATTCAAATCAAGGATAAAAACTATTTGTGTTAGCTTCCACACAAACTGCATTCTGCTTAGTAAATTCCATGTAAATAAAATATTACTAAAAATAAAGCATACGTTATCAATCTAAAAATGATGGCTCACTGAGCTTTTGGAAGAATAAATGGAACTGAAGACCTCTCAAGAATCTACTGCTGACATTTTAGTGTGTTGATGGAGGTATTGTGGACAAATTTCTGTGTAATTGAAAACATTAACAAAATAGTTGTCTGTTATGGTGTAAATTGTAAGTACTGTGTATGTAAATAAGTGAAGAGAGGTGCACATGTAAGAAATTCTGTGACTTTTGCTTCCAGAATGGTATGTCAAAAAGGTATGCCTGGAAATTAGAATTTAATTAGTTCTTATTTTGAGATACACAAACACATTTTCAACCTTGTATCTTAGTAACTCTGAGAAGGCCAACAGGGATGTGACAAGGAGCAAGATGATATTGTCTCTAGTGGGCTAGTTTGTACGCTGAGCACTAGCTTTCCACAGAAGTGGTCACGGTGTCTCCTTGGGAGCTCTAGCCCCTGCTCGGTTCTCCTGACCTGTTAGTGTTTACATTCAACAAAATAAATGGTTGTGATGATAAACTGATGACTTTGTGCACTATGTGATTTTTTTTATTATTATTATTATTACTTTGTCGCTTAGATTGTCATGGTGGTGATGATGATTTAATAATACTTGTGAAATGTTCGTTCAGGGTACCAGTCCCTAAAGTGATTTTGAAAAAGGAAACAATGAATCAGAAGATCCTAGTGTATTATCCCAGGAATTTTTAGTCTTATTTTACAGCTTTAGGAAACAGAAGCAGCAAAGACCTTCACAGTTTTCCTAAAGTCAAATTCAAAGCAGGAGATTAGAATCTTATTGTTAAAAAATTATTTGAAGCTTGGCTTATAACAATTTGTGTGTAATTTCAGAGTAAGTGTCAATGGCTCCTGTTAATCTTTCATCAGCTTAATCTGTCAGAATTCCCCTAGATATAAAATAAGACAGATAATCCGTTTCTGCATGCATAAGAAACTTTATATTAAGGGAATATATTCTTGTAAAAAATCAATAGTGGTAAATAATAATCTCAAAATACTGGAGTATGTAATGTGCCATGTGCAAATTTTTTTTGAATGCTCAGCTGTCTGTCATTTGGTATGCATATAAATACTATTCCACTGAAGTTAAGGTTTTCTCAGAAAGTTGAGTTGAACTTCATCAAGACAGACACAAAAGTTAATTATCAATAGGCCAAATTAATCTCTTTTTTTCTAGTTGTGTGAACTGGAGTAGTTGAACATGCAGGTCTGATGTGACTGTTGAACCTGCCTTTCACCATATGCATGCATTGGGATATCCACCCTACGTCTATGTGTGCAACTCTTTGTCCTTGGCCTTACTTAAAGGGTAGTTAAATGTTAAACTAGACTTTGGATTTTATTTTCAACATTTCTTTCATTTGTTTCAAAAATCCTTGACAAATGTCATGCCTTCTCAGTACTCATTTTCATATATTATTTTTAGTATGACACTCGTAACATCATAACCCTGAAGAGCTTGTTTACTGCATAAAAGTAAAAATGCACTTGCACATTGTGATATATGAGTGGGAAAAGGAGAAAGAACAGTAAAATATGAAACTGTAGTGGACAGTAGGTAGAAAAACTAACTTTAAACTTTTTTTTTCATTACTGATTGGAGTAAATTTGTATCATAATGATTTAAATTTATTTGGTTGACATTTCAAGGCTGGGTAATGTGCTGGGATATTCAGATTTCATTATTTTCCCGTGTAGCATCAATGTGCAAATATTTTGCTGACAGGGAGAGTATCAGCCTTAATACTTCGATAAAGACATTTAGATTTTAAATAAATTGTCCTTTTTACCTAGAAAAAAAATTGATCTAGAGTTACTATAGCAAGTGTTGGATGTTGTTTTATTAAACTTACTAGAGCAGTATGAGCTAGGTGATGTAAATACTTTTCTCTACAGGGAGAACAGAGTGAATTTGGCCACTATAATCCATTAAATCTGAATGTCCAGCTATGGCTGGCAGGGAGTTTTTTTAGTTTGGATCTTTAAAGGGATATTTGATGAAGTCATTAGAAGCCATGGAAAAACCTAAAAGGAAAGATCAGCTTTGGAACAAGTGATCAAATGGAAATACAGTTTTCAAATGGAGTATAGAATATCCTGTATCACTTCCCTTCCTACATAGCTTTGAATTCCTTATCACAAACACTGTGTATTAGCCTGATTCTCATACTTTTAGCAGAGGGCAATTAAGTGCATGCCACTGAAGCTTACTTTCAGTAATTTGGGGTAATTAAATGTTTTTCTTCCCTTTCTCCACTGGAGTTTGCATTACACCAGTCAAAATTTTGCAAGAAAGTTCCCAACTCTTTGCAATGGAAAGAAAGTTTTGAGTTAAGCTGAGTAAATAAATGTTTTTAAAATGACATTAAAAAAAATCCTATAGCTGCATTCACCCACAATTGTTATATCTAAAGATTTTAAAGTATATGCTTAGCTGGAACATAGTAGGAAACAAGAGACTCAGCTTCAGGGAAAGAAAGGAACTTTTATTTTCTCTATGGTTTAAAATGCTATTTATCCTTGAAATATTTATGATAGCTTTATTTTTTGATGTGTGACTATATATTTATGCTTGAATGTACAATGATGTCTGAAGTCTAATTATTGTGTTCATTAATTTCTCTTGTTTAACAAAATATATATAATTTTAATCTTTTTAATCCTTTTCCTCATAGGATTCAAAATGGGTAGAAGAAAAGCAGCTGTTAATCAGAACAAATCAGGAGTTGCTAGAGAAGGTACGTGTTCAGAATCTGCAAATATTTTCACAACCTTTATTGTAAAAGCAATGGTAAAAGGAAATTAATGTACCAAATACTGGAACATCAACATGAAAATTGCTTACTTTATTTCTCTCCAGAAACAGAAATTCAGATAAAAGTCTCTGCTTAAAGAACCAATATGCTTTTGGACTCTTTGGGAATGGAAGCTGCTCTTTATTGTGGAATTACATGTTGCATAGCCAACAGTAGAATCCAAGCTGGCTGTTTCTATTGTCCAACAAAATACAATCTAAAATATTAAGCATAATGTGAAATCTTGTATTTTGCTAAACAGTTACACAAAGATTATTATTGTCCTGATCACTAATAAAATTGCCTGCTCCCTTCAGCCTTCCATTTTTTTAGAGTTTTTCCACACATTAAGTAGTACTAATTGATTTAAGAGTATTGTATCATTTACTGTCTGAGATAATCAGAGCTGGGCATCGTCATTGTTCTTCATTGATATTGGTGGGAAAGTCTGTACTCAGGAAGTCAAAGAATTACTTTTGTTAATTAGTAGCTCAGTATTAATGTAATAGGAGTAAGATAACCAAAGAAAAATTCATGACTAAAAGTAGCTACAACTGGACTTAATTTATTTGGATACTTACATGGGTATTATAAGCATTATAGCACATTATGCCAGATGCTACACTTCTATTTAGTTTCATACAAATAAGAAGATCACCCAGTTAAGCTAGACAGTAGACCAAAGCTAATAGTTGGCATAGTGAATAGTCAGTTTTGAATTTCTATTTTGTCATTGTCAGGGCCCCAAAGCAAAAAGCTGGAAAATTAAGAAGTAGGCATTAAAACCCCTCCATTTATTGTATTTCATATACTGTAGAGGGGAGATGTCTAGTTATGCAAAGTCAATGACAACATTCTACCCAAATGTTAATGTTATCCAGTTTCATTCGCTTGATTTTAAAAGAAAGCTTGTATTGCTTAACTTATTTAGACATAATATTCATACCACTTTTCATACTAGTTCTGAATTACTGTTCTAAGAAAACATTGACCATTTTCTGCTGGCAGTTCTCACAAATACTTTCTGATGTGATGTTCCTTCTTTATCTCCAAGACACATCCCAACATCTAATGAGAAACTGAAATAATTAACAGTTTTGTATAAACCCCTGGCTGTAAGTCTGTACAGTATCTTTTCCGCTGCTTACAGGGTGTTATGATGTTATGTTTGTCTCATAGATTTACAGAATGGAACAGGAAGAGCATCAGCTGAAGAATGAGATGCAAGATGCAAAAGACCAGAATGAGCTGTTAGAATTCAGAGTGCTAGAGCTTGAAGTAAGAGATTCTCTCTGTTGCAAACTCTCAAATGGAGCAGAAATTATGTTTGAACCCAAGCTGAAATTCCTGTAAAGATTACTGATGTCTGGTGCATGTTTAAGGGAAATCACTTAGGTATCTATTTTTTAAATGTTGTATATTGGGATAATGAAGTTGATACCACTGCCTTAATGTGTTTTGGAGAGAGTGCTCACTAATGTTTATAAAGATGTAATATAGCTAATATATATTGCATATAGTTTGATTTTCATCTAATAAAATATTTTGTTTTGCAATATTTTGCCTTTTTTATTTGTTTCATTTCCATAACTGCTCCTCTCCTGCATGTAAAATCACTTGGTATGTATACTGCAGCCTTGGTTGGCATCGTTTAAATTAACACACCTTCTCACATCTTGCATGCAGTGATCTGACTAAAGATCTGACACATCCATCACATCAGTGTAAAATTGCTTTTAATTACATTGGTTTATGACTGACAACTTTAATATGCAGTAAAATTATCTTTAAAACCCCACATTTTGATAGCAGCTTTGAAGGAATTTTTCTTACCTGAAATTCATTTTCTGATGGTATAAATGGTCGTGGACTGGGAATAATTGGCCCCAGTCAGTGAAAAAAATGGAAAAAATACCCTCTGAGAATGTCAGAGTTAAAGTAGTGTAGCACCAGTGCAACTCCTATACATGGAAGTAGTATGCTGCCCATAGCAAACAAATCCTGTACTTTGCATAAATGAAATAACAGCAAAATTATTTGTTATTAACAATTTGAACATGTAGCCTGTGATAATATTAGAAAGCAATGATTCTTGTCATCTTGTAAATGGGGCCCATGTTGAATTTAGTAACACTGAACTAGTTGTGTGTGGTGCACAGGTGTCACACGGTTTACTGATTGTTACATGGAAAACTGGTTGTTATCAGTTTCAAAGATCATCAGCATTCCTAACACCATTTAGAATAAACTCTCCAAGAAACATGTCATTGTCACTCCTCCATAATTTTCATCACCCAGCACGTTTCACAAAAAATCTTGGCATGTTTAACTTCTCTGATAAAGATGAAAATGTCATGTCTTCCTGTTATGTGGATGTTCTGCTTTTTGTCTTTGACATTTCTTAATCTTTTTTTAATCCTTTATCGAGCATATATTTTGATGTCATAGCCCATTATGTTCTAAATTATGAATTTAGGTTATTTTAATTTCAGTAGGTGTTCAGGGAAATAAACATGCTTTCCAATACATATCTTTAGAGTTTATTAAGCAAGTGTAAAGTAAAATACTGAAAAATTCAGCATTTGATTTGGCAGTTACACTAGAAACTGCTTCCTAATTGGAAGTGTTCTTAGAAGAAAAAAAATCTGAAAAATGTTCCTAGGAAAAGGAAAAAAAAGTGCTTCAATACATCCTTCATGAATGTGTTTTTCACATGGGAGAATCATATGAAAAATAGCTCGGTGTGATGTCTTGAGTTTTGTTATGTGCTAACTCTTTAAGGACTTGTTTCGCAGAATAACAATGGAAGTATTTTTGTGCGATTGCAAGAAAAGATTTTTTTTTTTTTTCCTTAGTAGGCAAGCATGTAGACACAAATGTGACTGACAAGGTGAATGCTTTAGTAAAAATCATGAATGCCTCGGGGTTTTTTTGAGAGCAGTTAAATTATTTCGGATGAAAATTAGGCTAGAGTAGAAAACACAAAGATTTGTTTATCATTTAATGCAAGCAAATTCAGGTGAGATTAATGCAATAGAAGCTGATTAATTTTGTAAAAAATCTTAAATGGTAACTGAATTTGGACAAGGATTAAGCTTCTAGTTTGGGGTTACAACAAATAGGTCATTTAAGCCCATTTAAAAATTAGATGTTA